TCTTGTTCCTCAGAGCACACTGGGGGTGACAATGTCCCTGTATCACTAGGAACCATGTCACCAGCCAGCCCATTTATCCATGCAGTCCTGGGTTCATAGGTCCACTCTTCTCCTTTTCCTGCCCTGCTCTGACATTTCTTCTGGAGGAGCACTAGGACTGTTTCTCAGCAGGACTGTGAGAGATGTATGGGGACATCAAAGCATCAAATGTGCCCCACACTCAGCTTCTGCCTCCTCACAATGCCAGCTTTACTTTGTGCATCACAGGCTTTGCTCCACGTATGGGTCTGTCCAGTGCCCCAACAAGGTGGTGGGAAAAAATTGGCCATGGATGGTGCTCTCCAAAGAAGTGTGGGTCTCAGACAAAAGTGGGAGGGATTTATCAACACAAGCCCAACAAAAAAGAGAGGATGTGTTCGTTTCCAGCTAATATGTCTATGATAAGCCAAAGATCACAACAAGAATAGTAAAAAAAATGAGGATTGACATCAGTGAGATTTACGCAGCTAAAATCTTGCACAACGCTGTGAACATGGACAGCAAAAAGTCTTGAATTAACAAAAGAAGAGAAAAAGAGCTAATCTGAGACCCATCCTCTGCTCTCTCTTGTGAGAGGAGGCATTGCTGAGAATTCCATGCACTGGGAAAATTAAAACCAGCATTTCAGCCCAAACGACAAGATTCTTGGCTTTTCTGCATGTAAATCAGATCCTTACATTATCTCAGTGTCATTTTGTGGCTGAAAGCAATTCAGCAACTATCAGCACAGCCAGACTGAAATTCAGCAGAACAGGATCTGAGCACTTCAGCTCTTAATGACTAGATGTTTCTGTGGAAATGAATCTTACAAAAAAATGAAGTTAGGCAGAAAGTTGACAGCATGTGGAGACCGCAGAAAGGAGAGGAACTTTACAACTCGGCCTTCACATTTTCCACCTATAGGATTTTGACATTTGCTAAAGTTGTAGTGAGGGCAGCTTCTTCACAGTGCTCCCTCTGGGAAATATCACATTCAGCAATTCCTGAATTACAGTTTCTAATTATATTTTCATACTGTAATGCTGTCTGAAATGCAAATTTGATGACAGAATAATTCGATCCATGTAAAATAATTACAAAATTACTGTTTCTCAAACCTCAACTCATACTCCCTGCTATTTAAGAAGATAAATTTAACAGCAGCAGAAGTACAGCCAAAACATTGTCTATTTTTTTAACTGTTATCTGACTATAACTGTCTGCATAGATTTTGGCTCACCATGGAAGGTTGTTTCTAAAATATGACTACCAAAAACATTCCAGAGTTAGGATTTTCATTGCTTTAGCTTGGAACCAACAATCAGGCCAACTTTTATTTTGCATTCAGAGTACCAAATGCATAGCATCTGCGTTTAACTGGAAAAGCAACTGTTGATTAAAATGCCAAATCTCTACTGCAGCTCAGTTATCATTTAAACCAGTTGTTGCTAATGTTGATGTGGGACTTTAAATTAGAACAACACAAGGATTTTTAGCAGGATGGAAACCAACTTCTGCAATATGTAATTTAAGAGCCTGAAACTCCATACTGCTACATCAGTTCCCACTGTCTGACAATTCCCGCCTTGTATGAAAACCCCCCCCCCCCCCCCCCCGAATTATTGCCTTGGGTAGTGGCTTTAAAAAGACAGCAGAAATCTCATTTTGTTTGAAAAAAGCAAGAACGAGTCAGTGCTCTGCATTGCAAGGGTTTTTTAGGTTTTATTATGCTTCTAGCCTAAATTTAGATTGTCATTGCCCATCAATTCAACCAGATTAAGGTAGAGCACACTAAAGGCTTGAGTGTGTTATTATTACTAGGCTAGAGGCATCAACAGCTCATGTCTGTTTTTAATTTCTCTGGCTGTATCCAATTGTGTGAGAACTGACTCAAGGAGATCTCTGTCCTGTTTTCAGCCAGGGTCTCTCCTAAGGTGAAGTACTCTGATTCCTTGTGAATTGCTGGTCTACTTGCCCTTCTCCATGGACAAAAAGACTGCCAGAAGAGATCATCTTGTGTGTGTGCAAGCACATGATATTTGCAAATGTTACGAAGGCTGATGGGAGGTATGAGGGTCACTCTGGCCTCCCCAGAAGAAGGTGGGGTGTCACCAAGCCTATGTGCATCTCATTTTTTTTCCTCTTTATGTCAGAGGATTTCAAGTCCAAGTAAGTTGGCAGTCTCACTTGGGCAGAAGATGAGGGAGGGGCTGCAGCCGCCTTCCCCACCTCTCGATGGTCAGAAGAAACCTACAGGCTGTTTATTCTTTTCTCATGATGAGTGAAACCATGACAGGGCAGAGACGGCGGGATGCTTAGCATTACCTTGCCTGGCGACTTCACACACTCTCAAGGTAAAATCCAAGGGTTTGTCAAAAGGGTTTGGTACGGAGCTGACCAGCGAAAATGAGAGCATGAAATTGCCGAGCAGAGGCACGTAGCCCTGGGACGACTCTCACTGTCCCCTGCCCTTCCCCTGAGGAGGGAACTGTGCCTTTTCCGCCAGTTGCAGACCCTCGCACTGCCTGTGAGCTGCCTGCCTGACGTGTCTCAGCCATCCCCACCTCCAGGGCTCAAAGGAGCTGGGCAGATGGGATGCCCGAAGCCCCCAAGACTCAACAAGAGGGGACAGAGTTGATCACTTTGCCAAGCAGGACACACCCCTGTGCAACCTCAGGGACACTCACCAGCTTCCTGCCACAACACAGCTGGGACCCTTCTGGTGAAATGAGGAGCAGTCTATCATCCTCCTCTCTTAGGTCAAGTTAGTGCCTTTTGAAGATTTGCTCAGTATACCTAAAGCAAGATGTGTCCATTCCAGATGGAGATGAGGAACCTTTTTAAAAAATATTTCTAATGAATAGCTCTTGAGCAAAACGGTTGCATAATTCTTTCTCTCCTTGCAGGTGTTTTCAAGGCATCAAATACTACAGGACGCTGTATTCAAGCCTAAATGAATGAGGTGAAGTCCCAGCCCTCACTGAGCATCACTACTATCCTGAGGGCTCAAGTCAAACCTGGCAGGTGACTGCAACTGTACATGTAGCCAAATCCTCCAGACATGAAAGACTTTTCTTGAATGACAGGTGCCACTCAGCTCATATCTGTCCCCGAACTCCATGCTCCAGTCCCTCACTAGACTTGCCCTACTGGTGTAAGCTGGCAAACAAGCAGACCTCAGAGGCTGATGGGTTGCATCGACCACCTTCCCCTGTCCTCCCCCCCCCTCCCCAGACTCTGGGGGGACTCACATGCAGGTGGAAGGGCATGGACCATGTTGTCAGCTGAAACACAGCTTCACACACTGGCTGGGGAGCAGCTGTGCCCATTTCAGCCTGGGCGGGTAGCCTGGGAGAGGGTGCCAAGAGCCCCGCTCCCCGCAGGAAGGCTGTGCACGGGGTGCTATAACCTCCGCACCGAAGCTGTGAGGCTCCTGTAAACCTTGGTTAAACTCACCTACAAGGAACCAGTCGAGATTCCTCATGCACTGATGCTTTGGCATCAGGTGAAGAATTTAATAAAGATAATTTAAAATATTTCAGCCACCCAAAACATTGATATTTTAGGCACAAGAGTTAAATTGGAAAGAACGGATGAGATAATGCCAAGTGAAATGGTTTAGAGGTTTCAGATGCATTTATCTTTGTTGCTCTGTTAAGAATGCCAAATGCAGTGAAATCCAGAGCATTAAGCCGTAACTTTCCTTACAGAAGTGCTTTCAGTTTTAATCTCTGCCTTGGCTCCCTTTCTGAAACAATTACTTCTGCTGCATTTGGTAACATTAGAATAATTTTAATAGAATTTTTTTATCTTTTATTGCTTGGTGTTTTAAATTGTTTTGTAGCTCTGTGATAGTTTCAGAGTGGCAGCTGCTTTAGAAAATCATTACCGTTATCAATAAACCCTTTGAACTTTGGGAGGAAGGGAACAAGAGTATATAATTAGAGAAGATAAGAATGATCTAGCATACTTTTCCAGGAAACAATGCACATGATGCTTCAGCTGTAGTCTGTTCTTACAACGAATCTGTGTGTTCCCACACAAATAAACTCAAGCTGTGGCACTGAACTTCAGGAGCCCTGAAATCTCCTTCCCCACAACAGCCCTCTCAGAGTAAGTACAATACAGAAACAGACCCAAACTCCCTCTTCTTTTTACAAAAAGATCCAAATTGCATTTCATTTTTCATTTACTGTGGTGCTGTTCACACTGCAGTTCTTTTTATAGCTATTCTAACCACTCTCAACCCACAACAGAAGAAACAAAAAGCGAAATCCAAGCTGTATGTATGCGTGTGAGAAAAAGGGTAAAAGCCTGTGTTACAGCAATGTTGCTTTCTTGGTGTATTTCAGATAATTTTTCAGGAAGCTCTTGATCCTTTCCTCTGTAAACACTATATGGTCAAGAGCGT